GTGGCCCAGGGTCGGGAATCCCCCTGGGTCATTCCAGGACTGGGACGTTTGCAATCCAGAGATGAGGCGACACTGGGGGATTCTTATGCACAGAGTCGGTGTTTAGGAGTGTCTTGACTATTGCGCACTGTGGGTGCTTGGGCCTTGCTGATTCACGGCTAGAGGGTTTGGTTGTGCAGCGTTGTGAGATGTTTATGGTGTCTGGATGCCGCGATCTCGCTCCCAGTTGCAACAACAAATAATCCTCATGTGTTGCCAAATGCTCTTAGGCGGATAGAATTATCTTCCTGTTTGACAACCATTGCCCAAGAATACAGTAAGCACTTAAAATGGATAAGCTGGATGTCGATTGAGACCAGGGCGTCTTGGCCTGCCTGTGCACTGTGGATGCTGGGGGTGGCGACCCTCCCTGTGGCAAGGTTGTCGTGGCCTTATGGTATGTTAAGGAGCGTCCCTGGGCCCTACTCCGTAGACAGTATTAGCAGCTCCTTCTGCCAGTTTAGCTATTGAGTCCTAGATAATCTCCAGACAGTGTTAAATGGTTGGGGGATGGGAAAGCTGTCTTTTGTTCTTTGGAGCCGCTGACCTAGGGGCAGACAAGAAGCAGCAATGGAAGTATGCAGGTATGTCGAAGCCCCGAGTAGCCTCTTCCTCCTAATAGGCGCAGTAAGCTGCGTGCTCACCACTGGGTAAGTTCATCCACAGACTCAGAGCCCTTGTGACTAGTGACTCGTGAGAAGCTCCACTTCTGAACACTGCTGCTTTAGGTACCAAGCCTTTAGTCACTGAACCTTTTGGTGATAACTGCCTATCCAAATCATCATAAAAGCCACTCTGGAGCAAACTAACTTAAGATGAGCCTAAGATTGGGCCGTCTTCATTCATTCTGCTCAATGTTAATATTCATTTAATTGCACTACAGAATTGTTTGTACAGGGGGCAGAATTGTGAGCAAGGCCTTATATGTTTTTTTTTTTTTTTTTAATTTGAGACAGAGAGAGAGAGAGAGAGAGAGAGAGAGTGTGTGTGTGTGTGTGTGTGGCCAGCTCAGCCCACCAGGGGGCGGGGCTGGCTGGCATGTGGTGCTGGGGGATTGAACCGCGGTCCCTGATGCTTTGCTAAGCTTGTTCTAAGTAGGTGCTTTAGACCACTGAGCCATCTCTCCAGCCCTGGGCCCTATATGTTGTTCAGTGCAGTCTCCACCTTTGCAAGGCTAGATTCGGTGGAAACAAAACAAGACTGAGTTCTGACTTAGTGAGTTATGGAGAAGTTACCTTTTTTTTTTAGTGAGCCGGAAGCCACTCGTTCGTTTCCATAACTCTGAAGAATATGTGCCAAGACCCTAAGCTGTCTGCAGCTACGTGTAGGGCCACGCACACCCACTGTGCTCTGTTCTCTCGGTATGCACATAACTGCCGTAATGTTCACTTTATGAGTTAGTCCGAGTAAACTACTGCCAGCAGTAAGTAACAAACAGTATGCACAATGATCATAACACCAACATGACATAAAAGTTGTAGGAATGCGGCCTTGCTCTTGGAAGAGTGAAGCTAAATATTTTTATTTTCAGAATACGGGTCTCTGCAGTTGCCCAGAGTGGCAACTCGGGCTCCTGACCATCGAGGCCCGCTTTTCTCGGCCCGTGCACAATGGGTTTTTGGAGCTGGATGAAGGTCTTCTCGTGGGCGAGGCTGCTAAGAGCATTACGGGGCGTTCGGCAGCTGGGCTACTAATAGCCAGTAATCAACTTCTGATTAACAGCCAATACCATCTCCAGACATTATCCGGTATTCCTGGAAGGTAAATTCACCCCAGTGGATGATTTCTGATTCGAAAAGCAACTTGTAAAGAGCAGTAGAAATGAGAGGACTGATTATTCCTGTGCCTTCATTGTAGGCTATGTCGGAACACGGCTGGCTTCCACGTATTGGATTGCCGGTAAAATTGCTTCTGAGTTGTGGTAATTAACGCTCACCAAGGGCCTCTGGGCATAGCAGCATACTTCCTGTTGAAAACCAGAGGTAGAGGGCTGGTGAGATGGCTCAGTGGTCTAAAGCACCTACTTAGAACAAGCTTAGCAAAGCACAGGGACTGCGGTTCAATCCCCCAGCACCACATGCCAGCCAGCCCCGCCCCCTGGTGGGCTGAGCTGGCCACACACACACACACACACACACACACAAATAAATACATAAATAAATAAAATTAAAAAAAAAAAAAAAAAGAAAACCAGAGGTAGAGCAACGCTCTGGACCCCAGAATTGCGTGTCTGTAGTTTTGTGTTGTGCTGTGTGTTGACAAAGAGAAATTGCTTCTTGTTTGTTTCATTTAATTTTTTTTTCTTCATGTCAGCCTGTAGATGGTATTCACGGGTTCCATTCCATCGATGGGAAAACTAAGTGCAAGTATTGGTCAGTACCTGTAGATTGGGCTGGCCTGATAGCTCACCAGATTAAAGCACCTGCTTAGACAGATGCAGGGACCGCGGTTCGATCCCCAGCAGGCCGTGCCAAACCCACCCCCAGGGCACCCTGAGAGGGCGAATGAGACGGGGCATGGTGGCATGCGCCTGTAATCCCAAACTTTGGGAGGCTGAAACTAGGAGAATCAGTATGATTCCAGTCTGCTTAGTAAGACCCTGTAGACCCTGTACTAAATGCCTAAAAAATATATATCTGTAGATGATGTCAGAGCTAGAGTTTTGTTTCTAATTGCCATATTGTCGTGCACACAGGGATGACATAATTTACAAATTCCTTGTCTATGCCACCACAGTCATCAATTTGAAATGTGTCCCAGGAACGTGTCTAATTGCAGGAGCTGGAGTTACAGATCAATTAATTAACCTGGGAGGTGACAGGCAGGAGCGCCTAGAACTCCCGCATGCTGCACGCTCTGTGAGTCACAAGGATTTGGCTGGAAGAGGCACGGATTCAGAGCAACCTTGCTCACTTACTCAGTCTTGAGAAAAGTGTTCTTTTTCTGGAGAGGGAGATTGCGAAAGAGAAAGCTGGGGAACAGGAACATCTGCCTTGGAGACAAGTTGGAAACTGTTTATTAGTCTGATAGACATGATGCGGATAGCTACTTGACAGCCACCACTGCATTTTAAAACACTGACGTTCTGGTTAAATTCCGTGGTATCAGAAATCTCATTACTCAAGCAATCTATCTTTCTATGTGTCTTTCTATCCATCCATCCATCCATCCATCCATCCATCCATCCATCCTTCCATCTATGCATCGATCCATCCATCCATCCTGTTGTCAGTTGATCAGTCTATTCTGCCATCAATTCATCCATCCATTCTGTCATCTTTCAATCTATTCATCTCTCCATCCTTTCATCCATTCATTCTCTCATCTTTCAGTCTATTCATCTCCATCCATCTATCCATCCATCCTGTTACCAATTCATCCATCTATTCTACCATCAATTCATCCATTCATTGTCATCTTTCAAACTATTCATTTCTCCATCCATCCATCCTTCCATCCATCCATCCATCCATCCATCCTTCCATCCGTCTATCCATCTCTCCATCCATCCATCCATCCATCCATCCATCCATCCATCCATCCTGCTAGCAATTCATCCATCTATTCTGCCATCAATTCATCCATTCATTGTCATCTTTCAAACTATTCATTTCTCCATCCATCCATCCTTCCATCCATCCTTCCATCCATCTATCCATCTCTCCATCCATCCATCCATCTTTCCATCCATCCATCCATTCTTCCATCCATCTATCCATCTGTCCATCCATCCATCTATGAGAGCACATACTGTAGTCATTATCCATCACTAAATTCCAAATTAGCATAAACTTAGGCATTTCAAAATGCTATTGATTGTCTCGTAATGAGTGGGTGTCAGGCTTCTAGGCATGGAAAGTTCCTCTTCCAAGAGTGTTCATGTTGTGACAGAATTTAGTTCCTTATACAAATTCTTCCTTTTTATACAAGGAAGTCCTCATCTTTCTGAGACCTACCGCCTGCTCAAATCAGGCTAGCAGGACACACTTTCTTCTCCTTGGGCTTTGTGTTTCAAGCACTGCTACATTCTGTGTCTGGATGTCCTGCAAATCCCCACGCAGTAACAGCGGAGGGCTTTTTGGAGGTGGCTCAATCTAGAGTCTGACTGATGCCTGGTCTAATGCTGGGACTGAGGGTAGGAGTGTTACGCGTGCCCTAGCACAGGTAGACTGCACACAATACAAGGGACTGAAAGGAGCTTGCCCTCCCTCCTCTCGTGTTGCTTTTCTTGTCTTCTGCCGCCGTGAACTGCTGCCCTGCACCATGCACCACCCTTCCTTGGAGCTAGGTGGTGGCCTGAAACCTGTGCCAACTGTGAGTTAGATACAACCTTCCCTGCTTTAACTTTGGGTGCTGGGTATTTTGTCTCGGCAATGAGAAAAGTGACTAAGCTAAGCACTCACTTGATTAGATGAGGCCCACTCTGTGTCTGTTCCCTGCCAACCCTGTATCTTCTCCCTGGGCAATGGACATAGCCAACCTTAGGGACTGTAGGCAGAATCTTGGCACTTTTTTTCTTTTTTAGGGAAGGGTCTACAGGGTGTTCAGGGTCTCACTACTAGATCAGACTAGTAGCCTGTTTACAGCCTCCCAAGTGCTGGGATTACAGGCATACACCATCATGTCCAGTCTCAATTGCTGTCTCCGTGCACCTCGGGGGTGGGGCTGGCACAGCAGGCCCAGGGTTTGAACCCCGGGCCCCTGTGCCTGCTCGTAGGCACTTTAATCCGCTGAGCTATTTGGCCAGCCCCCAGAATCCCCTCACTTTTGCCACTGTTGATTAGAAGCAAATCAGTTTCTAACCTCGGTCAAAGGAAGAGTATGTCACAAAGTTTCCGGGACTTGCTGAAATAAGCTATTGTTAGGTTGTCCCGAGGGTAGCTGGCAAGGCAGAACTTGAAGAAGTTTAGAAGCTGTTGGTTTTCATCTCTTGGAGGACCCTGTCATGCTGGCTTTCCCGA